GCATGCAGTGGGAACACAGAGCAAGTCACTCACCTGTGTAAGAAATTCAGTACAAACCACAGAGAGCTGTCTGTGATGCTGCACTGAATTCACCAGATAGATTAGTCCTAAAGGAGATTCAAAGAGATGTATTTTTCAAAAGTAGGCAAATCAGTTATTAAAACATAGGAATATATGAAGAACCTGTAGGTAGGCACACACATTTCAGTGCAATATTCCAAAACATTAGAACGAAAAAACTCTTTCTGAATCTTCACATGATTAGTGTAAGGGACATAAAAATAAGATGTTCTACATTATTGGAGAGGTAATTTGTGGACCTTGTTGCTCCTAAATGATACTAATATGAAATTTTTTTTAAAGATTTATTTACATACAGCACTGGGGTACAGGGGCAGTGAGAGGCTTCAGAGACAGAGTAGGGAACAGAACAGGTCAACTGATGAAGTACACTGCTGAGGGGAGCAGTGGGTGGGTCAGGAGAGGTCTGCCACACCATGTGGGTCACCTCAGGGGCAGGGATTGAACTCAATGCTGAAGTGGCTTTAGCTTCTTAGTGCTGTGCTTTAACCTTCTGTGCCACCAGGAAGGGCCTGAAATATCTTAGTTTTAATAGTTTTATTCTTTCATTGATTCAGCAAAATTTATTGAAGTATCTTACAGTGTCAAACATCATATTGGTGTTTTATATATACTAGAGAGCTTACATAGCCCTTGCTTGCATGAGGCTTACAGTCTAGTCTAGTGAAACACAGATATTAAGCAAATACTCAATAAAGTCACATATATAAACTGTGGCAAATGCTGTGAGAGAAAAGTGTTTAAAGGGTGGCCCCATTGAAATTAGGTGTGAAATGAACAAGAGCTAGAGGTACTTAGGCAAAAAGTTAGGGGGAAGAGGCAGAGAGAAGAGCTGTGTGAAGTTCTAAACAAAAATGGGTTAGACAGATGGAAGAAGAGCCAAAAAAATAGTTGCTGTCAGGGAGGAATGCCTCACCCTTGCCCAGTATAGCCACTCCACAGAGTCCAACCACTATGGAAAGCTGTGTGGAGGCTCCTCGATTACTAAAAGTGGAGCGCCATTTGACCCAGCAATTCCACTCCTAAGTATCTACCCAACGGACACAAAAACATTATTAATTCAAGGGGATACATGCACCCCTATACTTATTGCAGAACTGTTTATAGTAGGTAAGACTTGGAAACAACCCAAATGCCCAAAAATAGATGACTAGATCAGAAACTGTGGTAGATATACACAATGGAATACTAGTCAGCAAAAAAAAAAAAAAAAAAAAAAAAAAGATCATGTAAAGCCATTTGTGGCAACATGGATAGATCTAGAAGGGATTATGCTGAGTGAAATAAGTCAGAAAGAAAAAGATCGATGGTTTCACTTATAGAAGGAATATAGGGAAACCAAATAAGGGGGGAATAATAACAAGTGGAAAAAAAATACAACAAAACTAAACAAAATCAGTCAGACAACTATAAGTTAGAGATATTCTGCAGGGGAGGGAGAGGGAGAAGGGCAAAATAGGGGCGAGAAGAACACAAGGTACTAAGGTGATGGTGCACAGGTGAATTGTGATAGAAATTCTGTGGGACTACACCTGATGTAAAATATATATAAAGAAATTATAAAAAAAAAAAAACAGACTGAATGGCTTCTGGGGCTGATTGATTAGCATCTGCTCAAGAGTGTGAGTGACTGGAGACCTAGGGGTAATAAGGCATATCCTAGAACCTGCATTGTCCTGCCTTATCCTCCTCAATCTAATCAGGGAGAAAAAAATATATCTAGTTATGATATTGTATGACAATTTTAAGATGCTGAGAAAGCATGAAACTCTAGAGGTCAGCCAACTTTGCCCAGCAGGGAATGGTTGAGCTAAAGCTGGGTTTAACAGATAAGTTGGAAAAGGAAGACAATTTCAGAAATGAACTGTGCGATGAAATCAAGGTGTGAGTAGCATGGTGCATTTTCAGAACTGCAGGGAGTTTGTTCTGGCTCCCATAGAAAGTTTATATGAGAGTTGAAAATAATCACGCATGAAAAGCAGAAAAGTAGAAGTTTATAGACACTGAAGAATTTGGACTTAATCTTGTAGGCATTTCTTGCTGCAGAAGTGGAAAGGATAAGGAGTAATGGGATGGTGGCCTTGAAAGGGAATGGCTTTGTCAAATTTTGTGCTACAGAGACTACTCTGGCAGTAGCAAAGATGGATTGCAAAATTGTACCTGGAAGAAAAGGACCAGTTGGGAGGATACTGGAGTAATTCTGGGGATAATTGGAGGCAGCCTGATGTGGCAGTGGCAATGTAAATGGGGAGAATGATCAAATAAAAAAGCTTTTTGGAAATGTCCTCTGAGATTCACACATTGCTTGGTGGTGTGGGAGGAAGTGGGGAAAGGAAAAGAGGAGATGAGCATGATACCAAGTTGATGGTGGAGTGACTGGCTGGCTTGTGGGCCATTCACTGAGTCTACATATGCAGGAATAGCCCCATGTGTGAAGAAAGGCTATCCACATTTCCATGGAGGGGTCAATGGGTAGCCTGGTAGAGCTGTCCTGTGGCACCCAGATGGAACTAGAGATAGAATTGGGTAGATCAGGCCAGAGCCAGGAGCTGATTACTGCTTTTCCTTAAAAAAAAAAAAAAAAAAAAAAAAACAACTTTACAGTAGTTTTAGACTTACTAAAAAGTTCCATAAGACTGATCATTTCTTTCTGGCCCCATCCATGCAGACATAATGCCATATTGGAATGGATAGTTTTGCTTGTGCAAACATCTCCATATACACTAACCCCTCACTTAACATTATCTGTAGGTTCTTGGAAACTAACTCTAAGCAGAATGACATATAATGAAACCAGGTCCCTGAATGACATCATTTCATTCCATCTAGTTTTGCTCTAGCTTAGTGAAAGAAGTCATCCCAGCCAATGTTGAAAGAAGCAATATAATGCATCAGAGATTTATGTGGTTCAAAAATTAAAGCAATGTAAAAAAAATTAGTAAAAAAATCTCACTCCCAACCTTGTCCCGACTTGCACTGTTTACATTCCCTACAGCTTTTTTTCCTCTGATGTGCTAATCCTTTCAGTTTTTGCAATGAAATATAAGCAAATAAAAGAATACATAATGTATGTTCCCTCTTTTCTTGCACAAAGGTGACTTATAGTGAACATTACTCTGTAACTTGCTTTTTTGCTGAACAACACAAACAAAACATCTGAGAAGGTAGCTACAGAGCACTTAAAATGTAACTGTTACAGCTACAAACCGGAATTTTAAATCCATATAGTTTAAATTTAGATTTTAAAGTGGAAGCAGTGTAAAAACATTTCCCATTAAACTTAACATTGTTTTGCCAGGACTACATTTCAGTAGTTTTAGCATTCAAAAACACAGCATCCAAATTCAGGTGCTATGTATAAACACAGACTAGGTTTCAAAAACGTAGTACAAAAGAACCTGTAAGATATCTTATTGTTTTACATTGTTTACATGTTGAAATACTGGAGGCTTTGGTATATTGGGTCAAATGAAATGTTAAAATTTGACCAATTTTTATTTTTTAAATGTGGGTACAATAACAGATAAAATTACATATGTGACTCAGGTTTGATTTCCACCAGATAGCATTGATATAGAGCATCCTTTTTTTTTTTTTTTAAGTTGGATAGCATTGCATTGCATAGTAACATGTTATTTAACCAGTTCACTATTCATGCACACTTGAGTTGTTTTGAAGCTCCTACTATTAAAAATGCAGAAATTAAAAAAAAAATGCAGAAATGCTTAACTTTGTCCACATGTCCCTTCATGTGTGTGCAGGTTGAGCTGTAAATGAATTTCCAGTATTGGGGTTACTGGGTTAAAGTAAATGCACTTGTAATTTTGATATTGTTCCCCACCACCAGCATGACAACTGTAACAATTTTCAAAAAAATAAAATAAAAACAAAGGAACTTTACTGATAAAACATTTAATCAACATCATAGAATTGATGTTTCTCCCTTTTTATTGAAAATACCAAACAATTAGCTCATCATTTTCCTGGGCTATAAATTTCTATGGAAGTTGCAACTTTCATCACATTCATAATTAGGAAAGATTATGTGAGAGTTCAAGTGGAGAAAGGGCATTTTCCTTTGTTTCCTAAGTATTGGAGATTTTCCAGATTCCTCCAGAGCCTTCCCTGACTATGCAAGGTAGAAAGGCAGTAGGCATGCAACTGTCAACTTACCCATTCCCTGAATTTGTTTTAGTAAGTGTTAAATACATTCTAACGTAATGGGCTGCTTGATGGGAGAAGTCCACTGACAACATAATTGGAGCTTATGAACTGCCATAATCATCAGTCAGTTCTGTTTATTAATAAGCTGGAGAAAACATTCATCTTTCCACCTTTAGGAGCCATCTGTTTGCTGTCCCTCTTTTGAGACTTGTGTGCCCTCTGCTGCCCTCTTCGTCTTTTTTTTTTTTTTTTTTTTAGATTGAAATGAAGAGCTCAACATTCTACATCCCCAAACAAATTGCTTCCATTTTTCCATTCATAGGAGTCTGAAAAAAATGAAATCTCATGGAAAGAATCTTTACTATGTAGGTAGCAATGTGTCAGATAAGCTAACAAATTAGTATCATGAAAACCCTTGTCTTTCAAGAATATAAAGTAGTATTTTGGCAACTCCTGGAAGAATAGAAATTCATTTCATAGCATGTCTGACCATAGATATTTGCTATCTTTAATATTTTACTTATTTTTAATATGAAAATATTAAGGAAGGGAATAAAAGCTAAGAATATTAATGTTGATCATGCAGGAACAGCACTAGGACATGAACCCTTGGTGATGTTGAATCCTTTCTTAAGCTGTGCTTCAGTTACAGGATAAATAAATACATAGCTTTCTAATAGGAAGCAGCTGCACCACAACTATTCTTCATGTTCTTTTTGCTTTTACTCTAATTTTGCTTAATTATTTTGTTTCAGGAAGGGTTTTCACTGGTCAGTAGCAAGGACTGGTTGAAGATTGTAAGACGCGTGGATTGTCTGTTGTTTGGAGCAACGATAAAGGTAAGGTGTTGAATGGTGAACAGTTTCTCAGAAAATGGTCATCTTCTGGAGGTGGAGGCTGCAGAAGCTTCTCTTTGCAAGTGAAATGGTACTGGGAAGAATACAGGCTTAAGGAATGTTCCCACCATGTAAGCAGAACATGAGTCAAGGACAGTAGGGAGGCAGAAGCCTAGATAGTAAGCAACTCCGCTGAAGGGCCAACACTTTAATTGTTCTGTCAATACCTGTCTGATGGAGCTGTGCAACCATTCCCTGTCCCCTGAGTACAAGTTGGGAGGAGAGGAGTGCATCATTGTTTGTCTTGCCTTTTAGATATTTAAAAGGTACGTCTTTTTGAATGCTTCACTGAATGTGGCTTTTTTTTTTTTTTCCGGTTGTACTAAAGGTAAAGAATGTTCCTCATCAAAGAAACATGCAGCCTAATCACTTGGATTATTTTCTTTCATAAATAACTATAAAAATCCAATCTGTTAACATTCATTGAGTAGATAATGCTGAAATTTAGGTGAAAGATGCTAATTTTTAATGGGCTCATAGAGTGAGAGTTGGAAAAGGCCTTCAATAGCATCTAATAACGGGGTCTTAACCTGGGATTCACAGACCCTCCCAAGGATCTCCAAAGGATTTAGTTTACGTGAACTTGCATAGATTTTCATTGACCTGTAATTGAAATTTATCATTTCCTTTAGTTATGGATGTCAGCAGCAGACCACAATAGTAGTGTGCCTTTTTACCAGTAGAAATCAGATTATCTTTGGAGGGACTGGTGGGGTATAAGTTTTTTTAATGCAGTCCCACTGTTTTATATCTTTGTTAATTGTTGACAGTTTAGGATTCTCCCCTCAGGTTCGGTCACCACCAAAGCATCCACAGTTGTCCACCATTGTCCACTGTGCTCTTCTCCCTAACGCCATTCTCACCTCTCCCCTTCCTCCCCTTCCTTGTTGCCTTATGCTTTCAAATGTTGGTTTCAAAGTTTGTCTTTGTCAACCGTTTGTTTGGTTTCTCTGTAGTCCACACTTAAGTGAAACCATCCAGTACTTACCTTTCTCTTCTGGATCTACCCATGTTGCCACAAATGTCATGAGACTTTTGTTTTGTTTTTTGGTAACAGTACCTATACCACATCTTTATCCATTCATCTGTCTTGGGGCATTTAGGGTGTTTAGGTATCTTAGCTGTTGTAAATAGTGTCGCAGTACATGTCTGCAGGCTTTCCTGTCAAATTAGTGTTTTTGTATCCTTTGGTAGAAAACTGGAAATAGAATTATTGGGTCATATAGCAGATCCATTTTAGTCTTTAGAGGAACCTCCACACCGCTTTCATAGGGGCTAAAAGATACCAGATTCTTTCACGTCATAGCACCATAGTTTCAGAGTTCTTATGTTATTTCTGCTCATCACCTCAAAATATGGTGGCTATTAGTCTTGCTAGCACTCTTTGAGAACCTTAATCAACAATCAGGGTATTAATGTAATAGTGATCTCAACATTGACTTCCTTTGTAATGTTACTGTGTATTGTCCCCAGAAAGGGCCCACTGGCTTCACCAGGACATCAAAGGAGCATGGATGGAGTGCATGCTCAAAAATTCAAGGCTTCTACTTTACATGTGAAGAGACATTATTTGACTTACACTAGTAGTAGTTTCCAACTTGATAGGAAAAATGAGTATCTGCCTTTAAGTTGCTTTTCTTTGATAACTAAATGAAAATGGACAGTTTTTCTGTTTGCTAGCTGTATTCTAAGAGCCACCTGACTACTGCTTCTGCCTAATGTTATTCTTTAGGGTATTGGGATATGTTATACACATATATATTTATTTTATAGTTATACAATATTAAGCATTTGTCTATATATCATATATGCTAAGTATGGACTTTTTTTTAAAGATTTATTTATTTATGCATACAGAACCGGGGTATAGGTCAGAGGTGCAGGGGTGGTGAGAGATTCACCAGAGACCGAGTGGGAGCAGAACAGGCGGATCTATGAAGTGCACTTTTCAGGGGATCGGTGGGTAGGCCAGGAGAGGTCTGCAGTACCATGTGTATCACCTGCAGGGCAGGGATGGCTTTAGCTTCTTAGTGCTGTGCTTTAACCTGCTGTGCCACCAGGGAGGGCCCTAAGTATGGATTTTTAATATTAAGATTAGGAACCTTTGCCTACTGTTACGTGAATGGTATTCTTTATCCCAAAGATAAATCTGTTTGCTTATTATTGGTTTTTTCTAAATTAATTTAAATTTATTACTAAAATTATTAACTGTTTTTTTTAATTTCTAATAAAGTAATTTTATAATTTGAAATAATTTTATTGATTTCCAGTAGCTTGTACTTACTACTTTTCTTACCATACTGAATTAATCTAGATAATCCAGAACACAGTAATTACATGACATCTCACTGCCTTGTTTAGATGTTAAAGAACAGCTGTGACTGTTGATTAGCAATGCTTTACCATATAGAAGAGATACTCTGTACTGATAATTTTATCAGGATAGCATATTAAATTTTATCAAAAGCTTCCTGACAGCTTATCAAGATCACATTTTTTTCTTCTTTTATTATTCACTTGCTATGTTAATATTGAAGCAGCAGTTTCTTGTCTTTCCTGGCAAAAGCTGTGTGATGCTTTTACCTGGACATTTTGAGTTAAAGTAGCAAACAGCATTATTTTTAGCTTTTTAATTTTCTTACATTTTTGTACAATATATGCTTTCCCCCTCACGTCTAATCCCCATAATTCCCCCACCAGCACATCACCTGTGCTCTTCCTCCCGCATTTTGGCACCTTCTGCTGGATGCCTCAGATCAGTAGTTTGCCTGCAAGTTTTATCTTTTTCCTGACCCTTTGTTTGGTTTCTTTATACTCAGCGTTGAAGTGAGACCATCTGATATTTTTCTTTTTCTTTCTGACTTATTTCACTTAACATAATCCTTTCCAGCTCCATCCATATTGCCATAAATTACACGAGTTTATTTTTTTGATCGTTGAGCAGTATTCCACTGTATACATACCACATCTTCTTGATCCAGTCATGTTTTTGGACATTGGTGGTTTCTATTTCTTAGCTATTATAAATAATGCTGCAATAAGCAGGAGTGCACGTTTCCTTTCGAATTAATGTTTTGTTTGTTTTTGTCATTTGGATAGATTCCTAGAGCGGAATCACTGGGTCATATATTAGATCCAGTTTTAGGAGCTAGAAGGTCCTCCACACAGCTTCTCATAGTGGTTGGACCTCTTTGATCCCCCTACAGTGTAAGAAGGCTCCTTTTCTCCCACACTGATGCCAGCATTTGTTGTCACTTTTAATATGCACCATTCTCACTGGTGCAAGTGGTCTCTCATTTTGGGTTTCATTTGCATTTCCCTGATTGTAAGTGAAGTTGAACATTTTCATGTACCCATGGCCATTTACATTTCCTCTTTGGAGAAGTGTCCTTTAAAATCTTCTGTCTGTTCTTTGTGCTTTGTTTTTGTTGAGTTGTGTAAGCTCTTGAAACATCATTGTTTAACAACTGGAACAAGTATTTTTACAGAAAATTCTCATTTCCTTTAACACCAATTTAATATAACTTAAATTCTTGAGTAATATTTTATTTTCCCTCTAGCCAAAGATTATGTAAGTTCTCCCTGCTTCTAAGATAAGTTCTCTTTTTTTTTTTAAGTGATTTTGATCAAAATGGCCCTGGTTGATGGACTAACAGTATAGAATATAACCCATATAATTCCTCATCTGAAGGGGCTTGGGTTGAAAGAATAAACTCAGACCATTGTCATCTCTGATTTTCACCCCACCCAATAACTCACTAAGGATTTTTTATTTTTCTTGACTTTGACCTAGGCTTTTGAGTATTACCTCACAGAATCTAGGAAATCTGAGAATCTAAGACATGAAGTCCCTTCTTTGATTGAGTTCTTTTTCCGTACAAGCCCCCAACCCCACCGCCACCTGCCCCCTTGTATACAGTAGAGGAATTCACTGTTAGTTGTGGGGAAAACTGTTTGGGGTCCTACTGGTGAGGCCTCCAATGGCTCCATGGCTGTTCTGTAGAAAGCTACCTGGGCCTGTTTTCCAGGAGGTTCTGATACCATGTAACCTTAGCTGTTGGAACCACAGCTCAGGGGTCTCCACAGGGAGATACTGTTCCCAGTTGCCAGCCAGAGGGCCCAACACCCCCCTCCCCCACAAAAACAAAGCCTGGTTTTCTTGTACATAACCAGATTTTTTTCCTCAAGGGAATTTTCTGCTAGTTATAATAACTCAAAATTAGTTTTGAAGTAGTGTGGGACCAATTTAATATATAAGACACAACTTAAAATATAGTAATTTTTGAGAAAAAACTCCTTAGTGACAGAAACTGGGGACCATGTTTGGGACAGTTCATGACTGTTAGTGTTACAGGACAGGGAGAGAAACACCCCAGAACCCCCAAACCTGCCTGCCCTAAATGGGTTCTGCCATCTGCCGCATCAAAAGAAAACATACAAGAACTTTAATGGAAAGGAACTTTCCATTTATGTAACTTTCCATTATAATTAGTGTGTAATACAAAAAAACCCAAAGAATATCATTTCCAAATCAAGCACCCAAAATTATCTGTCACTTCATGGGTAAATGTAAAGCCAAAGTCTGGCCCAAAAGCAAGGTCTATAAGCCTATCACATATCCAAAGCACCTTTCAGCAAGGACCCATAAAAAAGGGTCAGAAATGGTCAAACAAGTCTGGGAGGAAAGAGCAAAGTCAAAATCAAGATAAATGCTGACATAGTCAACCTCCTCAGGGGGCTCTCACACACATCTGTTTCTACCAGTTCAGGACTAAGAAACAAGAGCCGCTTCTTCATGTGTGTCTCTACTCCATGCGCCTCCCTCAGGTCTCCTCGCTTTCCATCCTGCTTCCTTTCTTCTCTTCTCCAGCTGCTTCTCTTCCATGCTCTGCTCCCTCTCTCCCTCCTCTTCAGACTTCTCTCTTCTCTGCTTAGCTCTACCCTCCCTTGGGTGAGGCAGGAAACCTGGGACCTCCCCTTTCCTGGGAACCACCCTGTTAAACTAGTATACACTTGAAATTTTTCATTGCACAGCAAACAGCTTTTTCTGACCTTTAATTACGGCATAGAAATGAATCTCTGCAAGATTTTCAACGTAGAAGTCCGTTTTGTTAGCCCAGCAATAGGTTTCCATTGTGTCACCTCACGGCATTAAAGATGTGGAATAAAGATGTAGCTCATTTTCAGACTTTCCTGATGAACCTGGGCTTTATCTTGGTCCACATGCATTGAAGTTGTATTTCTGGCTTTAGATGATAAGCTCAAATTCTACCTGAGAATAGCACAGAAGCAAACACTGAGGCTATCAGACATAAAACTAACCTGTCACTTTTTGGAACTACATTCCAAAGAAACCTAGCTCTCTAGATTCATCTAGAGAGACCTCTGAACTTAGTATGGGCCTAAATTCCCTGCATGGAATTCAAAGATCATTTCTGTACACTGTACACACCTTTTTCATCTAACTATGAGGGACACTTTTTTTTTTTAAGATTAATTTATGTATGCACATAGAACTAGGATACAGGCCACAGGTGCAGCAGTGGCTAGAGGATTCACAGAGACAAAGTGGGAAGCAGAACAGGCCGACTGATTAAGTACACTGCTGAGGGGAACAGCGGGTGGGTCAGGAGAGGTCTGCCACGCCATGTGGGTCACCTCCAGGGTGGGGATCAAACTCATGCTGAAGTGACTTTAACTTCTTAGTGCTGGGCTTTAACCCACTGCACCACCAGGGAGCGCTGAGGGACACTTTTTAATGTAATTGCTTCTTAAAAGTTGATTTTGACATTAGATAATTACAGAATCATCATGATGCTACCATAAAGGTATTTCATATAAATATCTTCATGTAAAGTCTAAAGTAGGATGGATTAGAAATAGCATATTAGGTGGCAATATATGAAAGGAAAAATACAAATAACCAGTGTACACAGGAAAAATATTCATTCTCTCTTTAGTCAAATTTGAAATTTTAAAATAAAAATCTGTTAAGAATAGGTTAGGGGCCCTCCCTGGTGGCACAGCAGCTTAAAGCATAGCACTAAGATGCTATAGCAGCCACTGCAGCATGAGTTTGATTCCCCGCTAGGAGGGAGGTGACCCACATGGTGCTGCAGACCCCTCCTGACCTGCCCACTGCTCCCCTCAGCAGTGTACTTCAGTACATCTGCCTGTTCTGCTTTCAACTCTGTCTCTGGTGAATCATCTCACTACCTTCACCTCTGGCCTGTACCCCAGTTCTGTATTCATAAATAAATAAATCTTTAAAAAAAATAGGTTAACAAAAATTTAAAAGAATCTCTAGTGTTGGAGAGTCTGATGGAAACGGGAATACGGACTCTCAGTGGGAGTAACTTGGTATCATCTTGCTCCAGCACAGTTTGGCATTATGTGTCAAAGTATAAAACATACAGATGGTTTGACCAGACAAATCTACCTTTGATATTTGTACATCATGTCTAAAAAGTGTTTATCAAAGCTTTGTGGCTTAATAATAGGAAAAAATTCTGGAAATGTTTGTCAGTAGGGGGCCAGTTAAGGAATAGCTCTCAGCTACTAACAGTAATGAGGCATAAAGAGGCTAACTTCTGTTTTTACTAACTTATTGTTAAATAAAAAAAGAGCTACATTTATGTAAAAAAGTGTTTAAGACACATGTAATACATATATAACATATTATACAAACATGTATATTTTATAGGTTATATATACAAGTGTGGGCATATATTTTAATGTATACCTATGTATTACCTTTACACATTCCTTTTTATACAAAAATCTGTATTCCTTTTCATACAATTTCATTGTTGGAGGGCCTATCAAAATATTACTTGAGAAAAAGGATGAAGTAATTAAAAATGAAGATAAACAGTGACAGTGAGCGTGGTGCCTGCCCACACATGCCTTACGTCGCTTGGCCACGCCCCGTGTCCTCTGTGAGCTGAGAATATGGCCTTGCCTGCTGGCTTTGTCTGGACATTTAGATGACATGTGGACTTTGGATGGCAAAATCAAAGAATTTTAGCTTACAGGAATCTAGAGGATTTTGTTCACTGGAGTTAAAACAAATTAAAAGGGTTTTGAGTTGTGTGTTAAAAAGAAAGTAGTCTTACTATCTTAACATTGTTAAGTCTCTACAGAAGACCCTGAGCAAAAGTCACCCTACATACTACCAGTGTGGGCTGGCTTTTAAGTTAGCTCCTCTAACCTACGCACAGCAGACTAAACTAGGAAAAGAAGAAATTATTAAAATAACGTATTGTTACAAATTGAGCTTTATTTTTAAACTTACCATAAAGTTTGATGTGGTTGCTGGCTTTTTAAATTTTAAATTGCCCCCTCCCACAATTGCTGATTTGCCAAGGATGTGGCACACACACCATGTGGAGGGCAGTGTTCCCCGTGGTTTGTGTGCTGGTCACCTTTAGGAATGAAAGGCACCAAGGGGATTATCAGGAGAGCCATTAGTTTTGAACAGCATCCTGTCTTTCAGGTTCACTGGCTTGTTTGGTGTGGCATCTACCTGGTTTGCTGTTCTTTGTACTCAGGTTTAGGAAATTTTTGTTGATCCAGGATAATGCCTTATTATTGCCTTCATTGGCTTCTCACCTAAGAAGAGAGCAGCTATAAAATCTTGATTCCAAAGTAAGATGAAACACTTATCTTTTAGTATGATGACCATATCGCTATGATACAGGCTTTTTCTTTTTTGCTGATGTCATTTCCCAGAAGGAAATAAATTTAGTTTGAGAAACAGCTCCCAATAGAGGGAAGTAGTTACTGGTTTTTTTATACCCATGAAAACATGGTAGGGATAATTGTTCCTTTTCCAGATCAGCACCCCTCTAAGTCAAGGGAAGCTGCCATTGAACTGAATAAAAGTAAAGCAGCAGGACAAAAGTCACTGAGGATAACCTTTGATTTGTCACACAGAACAGGAGCCGCATGTTCCGGGTCCAATTTGGTGGTGGGTCGAAGGAGCAGGCACTGGAACACTGCTGCAGCTGTGTGCAGACCCTGGCCCAGTATGTAACCGTGCAGGTGCCTGACGGGATCACCCAGGAGCTCCAGCCGAATCCGGGCCCACTGAAGGCAGGTGAAGGCCCCGGGAAGGGCTCCGTGCAGAGCAGCCCCCTGCAGCTCGAAGTAAGTAGGCGATGGGAGCGATCAGTCTGGGTAGTTCCTCGAAGGGAGGGTCAAAATCATGGTGGAATTTGCCAAATCCATCAGGATTGTGAGTTAAGATAGTTAATGTCGACTGACTTCTTTTACCTGAAAGGAAAAGAAGGCAAACCTGGAACTGTCCTGTCACCAGGTCATTTGTAGTCCTAGAAATTAGGAGAGTCCTGGACACATTCTGGGTGCCACTGGAAAGCAGTAGTTTCTCCAAGTGCAGCCCACAGACCCCTCCCTGAGGCTTTTTCAGGGATCCACAAAATCATTCTTGTAATAGTATTGAACAATATTTGCTCTACTGTGTTATTTGCATTAATGGTGCAAAAGCATCATAAGCAAAGCTGTCTATGAAGCACAAGTCAAGGCAGAGGCACCAAGGGCAGCCATCATGTCCTTCGCCAGTCACTTGCTACAAAAAGGAATAGAGCAGAACTGCTCTTTATCCTGAAATGTGCCAGCTATCTCAAGATGAAGCAGCTGCCTTGGAGCTGAACTAGCCTCTTTCCTCATAGAACACCTTTACTACTTGAGAGAACAATGGGCAAACTATGGCTATTCAGATTTGGCTATTAGGTGAATGTTTTCACAAAAGTGAATGATGTGAGCAGCATATATCACTTCAGGAAAACAACAGCCAGATAGTATTTACTGACAGTAGTGAAATGAATTTTTCAAAAGAATACCAGATTCTTGGAAAACTTCTATCTGCTCCTTGAGCTTGAGAGCTTCCTGATCCAGAATACTTTTCCAGTGGTGCTACTATTAATGGATATGACCTTTTTCGTACATGGCAAATGTTTCTGTATTATAGTTCAGTGAACCATTATTTCCAAATGATCAGTATATGCATGGGGCTACAAAATCATGCATAGACCAAAATGGAACATTCCAAGTATAAGATAGACTAATGGATTTAACTAACAGTGTAACATATGTCATGCTTTTAGATTCTATGTTGCAACTAACCTTGAAGAAACTATCTCTGAGTTATAGCAGCATACCAAGTATCATCCACAATTATCTGAAAAGATTAATTTTTGCCTTTTCTGTCTAGGCATACCTGCATGAGGCCAGGTTTTCTTTATATAGTTTTGCCCAAAGTAACGTGTCAGCAGATTAAATGTGAAAGTAAATGTCAGTCATCTGTCTTCCATTAAGCTAGACATTAGAAATTTGCAACATGCATTACACTTTTGCTTTAAGAACTAGTTGATTTTCATAAAAATGCTTAAATATTAACATAGAATGGGTATTTTAGTGAATTTTTAAACTATTTACACAGCTAATATAAGGTAGCTATAACAAAAGAAAGTTGTTGGAGGGCCTGAGAAAGTGTGTTAAGACGGTCTGTGAGCAAAACGTTGACGCATTGTTAGAGAATTTTCTAACAAAAGCACATATTGTAGCATTTCTTTGAAGTAGCTGTTTGAAGAAATATTTACCGTTATTTTGGGGATGAAATTCCAGTTTCAAGCTTGATTTTTCATTTTCAATCATTTCATCCTATTAGTTTTCCTTAAACTCACTGGGCCAAGACAATTCATTTTTATTGTTTATCACCAAGTTTCTTGTAATTCATAGTTTTTCTAGGGCAACCATGAATTTATTTAAAGCCTTTTTTATTGAGCAAGTACTGTACAAGTTCTTCTTAAATGAGTTTAACTTGCCAAATCAGATTTTGATGTTCTAGAATTCTCTTCATTTGTTTCTTCATAATCTTTCTGATGAAGATGTCTTAACGCTAAAGCTACTGTCTCACAAGCCCTGGATCTAGTTTCAAGCATTTTGTCTCATCAGCTGCCCCCTCCCCCCACCCATCTTCTTTAAGAATTCCCTCCCTACTAAAGGATGGAAGGTTTATTATAAAGCACTGTGTTGCATGTGATCCTTTGCCCCTTCAGGAGGTCATTTCCCTAGGTTTCATGAGTCAGGCTAGAGAATAGTATGCCCCAATATAGGGGGTACGAGACCTAAAAGGTTCCCAGAACCTGGAACTAGGTCTGGAATGCCTTAGAAAGGGATTGAAAACACAGCTGTTCTGTGATCTAGGTACCTAGATCTAGGATCTAGGTAAACTGAAATTTTAACTCAGTGGCAAACACAGGCTGATGGCTGAGTTGATGCAAACATTTCAGTCTGTTTTTATAGGCTGAGTCCAAATAACTAAGTAGAAATACCTCATAGTGGGGTGTGAAAAAGGACTTCATACCTTTTCTCCATTCTGTAATCAGAAATTCCCAGTCTGGTGTTCTGAGTAGATGAGCCATCATGATGCTGTGCAGAAATTATAGGCTTTGGAACCAAGGTGGATCTAGATTTAAATCCTCACCTGTCAGTATTTGTATGATCTTATGCAGGTCACTGAACATCTGTGAAATGGTTAAGATTGAAATGCTGTATGTAAAGCACCTACTTCAGTGCCTGGCAAGTTTAATTGAGATGGAGTGTCTGAAATTGCAGAGCAGCAAACAGGGTAAAGCTGCTGGGTTAACTTGTTAGGGCACAGACATTCTGAGTACTGTCTGGAACATTATAGACTTCCTAATCACAGAAGTCCCAGGTTTGCCATGAGCTCTGCTATGCAGACTTGGTATTAAATGCTTCCTTTCTCAGACTCTGTCTTAAGTGCCATGAACTGTGGCCAACGTCTAGTTCCTTTGCTGTTCTCTTGCACTCAGGTGTGTCATTTTCCCCAATACCTCTATTTTTTTGTCTAAAAGTTTTATTTTTTGTAAATAGAGGTAATTCCATGCCTTCCTATTTCAAGTTCTTGAGTCATTTCCTGGCTCATATTTTTTCACATTTCTTCAACCTTGTAATTTTGGTAATCGTGGAGGAGCAGGTGTTTCTTAGCTTGAGGGCTTTTAAGGCAACCCACCCCGAGAGAGGGGGCAGGAGAAGCAGGAAAGAGGTTGGCGGGTAGACAGGCTAAGTGGACTCTTTCCCTTGTTAGCGCAAGTTCAGAAGTAAACACCCAGGGCTCCAGCTGCTGTGTACACAGAACCTCCCTCTGCTCCTCCATCTCTGCACTTGCCGGCACTGTGTGCTCATGGAGCCAACCCACCAGCTTCCTTCAGGCACTTTATCCATAGTTGGTGGCCTATGACTGGTTAACATCTTTCCCGTTAACTTGAAGAACATGTTAAGAGCTGTACTGACCTGTATCCTAGGAAAGCATCATGTGTCAAATGTGAGAGCTGGAAGAAACAGTAGGCACAGTAGCATGACCTTATTTTTACAAGATGAGGAAATTGGACTAAAATTCGGGTCTTGCCTGACTCCTGATTCATTGCAGCCCCCTTAAGCTTTTAGTTCATTTTCATTTTTCTTGACAAGTTTCTCTTCCCTTAATTCTCCTCTGTTCCCTCCCTGCTCTCACCCCACTGTTACTGCTTTCAAATCTTTTTCTTTTTGCTAGTATCTACCTACTAGCAACAGCTTCCATATAGACAAGTGCCAGAAGTACCCTGACTTCTCACAGTCAAAAAATGCTGCTAGGGGAATGAGACCCTCCAGGGAGAGCGTCGCTTCTCTTCTCAGTGACACTATCCGCTCATGCCTCTGTGGGAATGCCTGTGTGGAGATTTAAGTGACAGCCACAGGAACACAAAACAGAGCAGACCTGCAGGCATGTACTTAGGAAAAGGAGTGTGGGCACTTAGAAGTTCTCATGCTTTCAAGTAGAAACAGGCCTTGCACTCTTTATGTTGCCATGTCCCCTTGCACACCTTGCTTATTGTACATGCCTGGAAAATGTGTTGCCTCACTGAATGGACTCTGGTGCACTCTTGCACGCCACTCCCTGCAGTCTGAGCCTGAAGTCATTTTGTCATTTCCATCACAGCACAGCCCGGTGCACCCTGGTCATGTCACTGCTGAGGTTCTCACTGGGCTATGGCTTCTTGAGCACCAGACCACGGCCTTATTGTGCGGCTTCCTTCCCTGTATCACTCCTGTTTCTGGTGTCTAGTGGGCATGGTCAAAGTTCTAGTGATTTTACCTACAGAACTTATTCCAAAATACTATCTTTAAAATGTGTTTACTAAAAACATACTTTTCTTGTACTTTCTCTGCAATAAAAGTGGTAACATTTAGGTGACAAATGATTCTCAGCTGAGCGATAGCCACTGCTCCTGTCCCCAGGTGGTAGTCCTGTGGGCCAAACACTGGAGATAGTAGGTACTGGCTGGCAGGCGCAGAAGTGAACACTTCTGGTGCCTCTGCTGAGTTAAACCCAGTAAGAGTCCAGCGTAAGCCAGGACAGACCACATGGACAGTGGTTGTGTTGTCTGTCTTCACTGGTCCTCTCTTCTTTGTGAGTGCCATGTTTCCATTTCTTTAATGGTGTGTGGTGTTTATCATTATGTTCAGCTAATCTTTTGATGACACATTGTCTCACTACAGACACAACAAACCTCAGAGCATGAGTGTGTACCAGCCAGAACAAGCACTCTAGGAGGGAGGACCTCGGTAACGTGGTTAGCTCAGGTAAAGCCTATTTCTTCTTACAAAAATCAGTGATCCCAAAGAATGTGTATCCCCGATTTGCACTCCCTTGTTTTACAATGGTAACCTGAAATTTCACTATACAAGATGGCAGAGGACAAACCACTTCTGCCCTACCATGATGTTAGATACAGTGGTATATAATGAAGAGCTGTTCTCCTAAGGGTAAGAAGGGTGTAGAGTTAGCCTTTAGGTGTGTGCAGTAAAGAATTCAGTCTGTGTTAGGGACACTTTGCCAAAATGAATAAAGGTAAGAATTTCAACAAGCCATTCTAAGACAAATACCAAGCTTGGAGTCAGAGTAGCAATGAAACCAGGATTCAACTCTGTTACCATAGACTTGTTCTCAGACATTCATTTCCCCTTTGCAATTTTCTAATACCAAAGAATCTTGCAAAATCCATTTTGGTCGATCTCAGTTCCACTTTGTCTTCACTGTGCTGGGAGCGCCTCGAGGACTACCCCATTCTGTCATGTTTCCTCTGTGTCAGAACAACAGCTTATGCTTTCTGCAAAACTTTACTTGGGAGTTCATCAATATTCAAAGCTAAATTGTCTTTTAATAGTATGTATGAAAGTGTGCTAGCAAGTAGGAAAAAGAAATTTGGGTGTTTTCTCCATCTGCCTTATCACAAATTCAAAATAAGTGGACATAAATATAGATTTAAAAAAAAAAACTAGAGAGATAAGAAGACAAGAATTCATGTCTATTTCTTTCCATAACCAACTATGACAAAATGAAAAGGTATTTGTTCAGCAGCAGGGCAGAATTCATACTGCCCAGTGCGTGGCCTTGTACTTACACTGGTGTGACAGGTTAATTGCATCAGAGGCTGAGGATGCGAGGGAAGGGTGTGCCTGAGTCTGGTTTACATAGTTTATAGTAACTGTGTTCACAAAGAAACACCCGAATGAGAACTCAGATGTGTTACTTGCTCCAGCTTTTTGGACACATTATGAACATGGTTGGTACAACTTGGGGGGAGAGCAATTTGGTAATATTTATCAAATTTAATGATCTTATTCCATATAATTCTAAATACACAAAGATGTTCCTCTGTCTTAAAAAAAATTATAAACAATGTATGTTTACTAATACAATACCTGAGTGGGTAAAGTGGTAGAAGGATAAAGATCAATTTGAAATGATGTGAATTCTTATCTCTTGGTATGGAAAGATTAAATTCTTAGTAAATTTCTAAAAAGTCTACAAAGCGGCATGTGTAGTTTAGTTTTTGTAATGTATGTTTAGTGTTTAGAAGGCGATACACTGACATTTTTAACAGTGGTTTTCACTGGAGAACAAAGCTCCCTGTTCATTGTTTTACAACATTAGGAAGAATCTAGACAACTCGTTTGAATTTAGAAAAGTAAATTTCTATTATAGATAGTTCTTAGAGATTTCAGTTGTAATGAAAGTAAGCCAGGCCATAGATGGAAAGAATATAAAGCCACCTACTGGATGAAAATTCATGTGAAGACTGGGTGAGACCCAAGGTAGGTTGACCTCCACAAAGCTGGGCTGTGCATCCAGTGTTGACAGATTTTCCAAACTGCCAAGCACAGTCAGATTTCATTAGAACTCTTTAGTACTGGCAGCTTACTTAACTGGTTTCCAAATACTTTGTTACCAAAAACATACATATGACAAATAAGCATGTGAAAAAATACTCAATGTCATACGATTTTATTTAGGACATTCTGTAGGCCAAACTATTAAGTATGGAGAACCCCAGTTAAACAGCACTTAAGGATTTGACAACCAGGGTAGGTAGCATGAGGGAATTTTCTTGGGAGTCAGAGGTTTGGTATCTAGATTGTGGTGTAATACTCTGTATTTTTCAAGTTTCACGGGCAGGGCCAGAAAAAGATGTGACCTACCAGTCTTGTCATCAGTTTCTGCCCTTTATTTTTTTAAAGATTTATTTATGCATACAGAACTGGGGTACGGATCAGAGGTGCAGTGAGAGGATTCACCAGAGGCAGAGTGGGGAGCAGAACAAGCTGACTGATGAAATATACTACTGAGGGGATCAGCGGGCAGGCCAGGAGAGGTCTGCGGTGCCATATGTGGATCACCTTTGGGGTGGGGATCGAACTCATCTGAAGTGGCTTTAGCTTCTTAATGCTGTGCTTTAACCTGCTGTGCCAACAGGGAGGGCGCTATGCCCTTTATTTTTTTAAGCTGATTTTTACATAGAAGAGAACAGGGTATGGGTCAGAGGTGCAGGGAGTGAGAGGATTCACCAGAGGCAGTAGGACAGACGTACTGAAACACACTGCTAAGAGGAGCAGTGGGCAAGACAGGAAACGTCTGCTGTGCCATCTGTGGATTAAGATCCGTTGGTTGGGGATCGAACTCAGGCCTAGTAATAGTGCTGAGACTTAACCCCCTCAGCCACCAGGGAGGCCCCAGTTTGTGACCTCTTGAAGCAGTTAGTAAAGTTCCTGCTTCTAAACCCATCCCTCACCACCTAGGAGACTGGAAAGTAAGTAGTGGAGTTCATTCGCTGACAGGTTTCTTAGCTCAGTATTCTTCATTATTAGCATCAGATCATGACTTTGCAAATCATTACTAAACTAATATGTCAAGTGTATCTCACTTCCTGCATATATTTAGAAACATGTAAAGGATCCCTATAGAGCTAATTAACACTAATTTTTGGTGAATGGTGTCCTAACTTTAAGGCAATGCTGTTTTGTTACTCGAGTGTTTTCAAGTGCTTTCACTTGTAATCTCCAGTAAACTATTCTTCTGAAATCCCCACAGTCTCTCCTGGCATCTGAGGAGCTACCCCTTGTCTATGAACAGTCTGCATGGAGTGCGGAAGAGTTAGGCCCCTTTCTACGCTTGTGCCTCATGGATCAGAATTTCCCAGCATTTGTGGAAGAGGTGGAAAAGGAACTAAAAAAGCTGACGGGGTTGAGTAATTAACACTCACTGTACACTTAGGACTAAAGAATTCAAAAACTTCAATCTTAGGAAGAAGCAGCTTAAAGATGCTAGAATAAAAAGCATTATTCCAAACACCTTTTATCAATGTTTTATTTTTAAAAACAGGTGAATCCACTTTTATACATCATTGCACTTCAACAATTACACAAAACACAAGTACATGCAGCTACAGTCACACACCGCGTGAGAACCCTGCTGGGCAAGAAAATCTACACTCAGATCAATGTGAAAAAATACAGTGTGTCAATCCCAAAGTATAACTAGTTGCATAGAATACCATGCTATAACATTTCAAGGTCATTGAAAACAAAAGGCAAATTATAAAAGTTTGCCTTAATTGAATGTACAGTAAGGTTCAACACATCAGTGCAAAAGGATTTAAGAATTTACATGACTTAAAAGAAAAAAAAAATCACTTAAAAAGCAATCATACATATATTTACTGCAATTCATTATATCCATTCAGTGGACTGTTCCAGCTTATCAAAGTCGTAGGTTAAGCCCTTAAAATTACAGATTTCAGTTTATATTACTCATCTTTATGTACCAGAACTGCACAATTTCCTCATGTGACAACATACAGTAAAGGAACAAATATCAGCAGCTTAAAAATGAAACAAGCATTTATTTTATTTTGGATTTCTCCCACCCCAAAAATATAAATATATATATATATATTTATATACTGTATATATCTGTAAGTTTTGCTGTACTTTACAAAAAAGTATCACTAGATGGCAGCAATGCATTTTAGAGCTTTGCCAATTAACAGCTGCAGTAAGTAAAAAATGGCGCATGCATGATCTGATCCTCAGAGGACCTTTTCACTTCTATTTAAATGTTTTACCAAAGGAAGGAAGAAAAAAAAAAAAAGCAACATTCACAACACATCAAGCCCAAAATAGTTTACACCTTCTACACTGAAGCATTGTTTAAAATGTACCTGGCCAGGTCACCCTTACAGGAGAGGCTAAATAAGGCATGCTTTAGACAGTCATTGTGGTGTTGCTCACTTGAAAGGGGAGAGAACCAAAGAGGTCCAAGCAGAAAATTTAGCAGGTCAGTTGCCACCAGTTTAGGAACCTAAAGATCTGTAAAGAAAATATTTGTAAATAAAAAGGAAATAAAGGCTATCAATCTCTCAGGACTGCACAGCAACTACATAAAGCTCCGATTCAAACAGCATGCTCAGAGAGGTGGTGTGAAATGCTGGCCTCCATGTGCCCTGCAAGAAGGCACTCTGGCCTGGCCAGCATGCTTTCCTTGCCCTCAGAAGCCAAGTGGAACTAATGGCCTACTTCAAAAAATGACTAATCTTTTTTTAAGTTATAAGTAAATAATGGTGCAAAGTAAGTACTTTGAAGCATCATATACATGTTCTCATATAAATGAGAAATGCAGCTGTTCCCTAAACTGGACAGAATATCTGCTGCTCTGAAATGAATCAAAAGATCTTACAACATAACTATGAAAGGATGTGTAACACGGTCACAGAGAGGCACAGTCATTAGATTATGATTTTAAAAACTTCTGCAGAAGGCCATACTTACAGTATAAGCAGTATTTAATTTGTGTTTCTCTGGCGCAAGTTTTTATCTTTGTGATTGTTGGTAGAGTTGGTTTTCCTTTGGAGGAAAAATTGATTTGTAAGAGTTAAACTCACAGTAGCTTTTGAAAGTATAGCACAAGCAAATACAGGGACTCCTTCACTTACTGCCCAAGCAAATACAGGGACTCCTTCACTTACTGCCATCCCAGGTGTAGAAGAGATTTTTTTGTGCATACAGATATTCCCTGTGCAAAGTGCCTACATACCTCTCTCTAATTAATAGGTCCTTTGATTCCAAAGGCAGATGGTATCAGGGAATTTCCTTGACTTATGAACCATAATTACTATGAAAGTGAGAGTAAGTTGTGTTTTCTACTGATCTACACAGAGGGTAGCAGTGTGCCTCTCTGGCACATAACTAATTTGGGTGTTTACCTCCCTCTCCATCCTTAGGTCCCCAACTCTGGGAAATTCTGCTAATCTTGGATTGATTCCAAATTTGCAGCTCCATCTCTCTTGAAATCAACAACTGCTGATGGACCAGATTATTCATGTTACAGCCCACCTGTAACACATCCTGAAGTCTCTTATTAGTCGTTTTCTCCACTTTGTAACAAGGTCAGCATTATCAACTTAAAGGTATGCAATGTGCAAAATGCTAACCTTTTTTGCATGCTATTCTACTTCATATTGCCACTAAAAGCAAAACTGTACAGCTTGTCCTGGGAACCAAAATGGCTGTCAATTCCCTGCGAGGTTCATTTCCACTCAATGTCTTCCCCCTAATCTTAGCTACTACACTCGGCTAATAAACTGTAAACGCAAACAACTCGAGATTGAATCAATGTCCAATAACATACTTACATTGGCCCAGCTGGTTCGTCATCTGCACAGGTATTCAGTTTTTTAGTAATCCATTGAGAGACAGAGAAGAAAGGAGAAAATTGTGAGAGACTTTGTAAGGGTTAATAAAAAAGCAAATGGCAAGTGGCAAACATGGCTATTCATAGCACTGATTCAAGGCCATTCCATCTGGAGGTGCAAAACACTCATGGAGTTATTATTTCTAGGTTCAAAGTTTTTAATGGCAGGTATGTTGTTTCAATGGTTTTAGTTAACACTTTGGATGCTTGTCATGAAAAACTGCAACTGTAGCGGACAGATAGGCTGCAATATCATATTCATCTTGTCCCCAAGTTCCAGTGGTTCACTCTTAAATAGATGAGAAGACAAACCAACATTTCAGTTGTAAAATCCTGCTGTTTGTTTTCTTGTGGTGAATGCATGCACAGTTTTGGTTCAATCCTACAGTGTAGAGGGATGAGTAATCTATACATTTAACCACACATCCTCATTTCCCCCAAAAGTACTTTTTTTGTTGCCATTTTGTAATCTTTGGGAGAATCTTTAGTTTGGAGAATGTGACTGAGAAAGAGGAAGCCTCAACTGTTGAACCTCACACTAGCCAGCGGTGCTGGGCTGTACTCTGCATACCAGAGTTTGTTCTCTGACACAACAGGGAAAGAAAGCAAAGTGGTGACATCCCTCTAGAAAAGAATGTTAAATAAGTAGGCCCATTTTGATGTCCTGGCCAAAACCAGAACCCAAGCCTGTATGAGCCACGAGGTTTATTGTTTTAATCAAAATGCTTAGATTATCTGAGTTTAGAAGCCTTCTTAAAAATTGGTATTTTATGATTGATTTGTAAGTTTTCTTTCCTGTTTCACCTGAGGGCAAGTTGGGGTCCCCTTTAAGCAGGGATACAGTTTGTTTTTAGAACCACAAGGGGGAGAAAACAAGCAAGTGCTCTTCATTTTTTATTTTATAAAAGTCAGGTAGAAGAAATGATTCAAAAGAGTTTGATTTCACTGAAGGCTTCTAGAAAAACTCTCAGCAGGATTCCACAAGGGGGCTTGGTGCACATGAAGCAGTTATGAGATTACAGTCTCAGTGTAGGCATCTGCAGGAGCACACGTCAGGAGTAATGTCAGAAGGAGACATTGCTCCACCTGTTCCTTTGAGGCAACGGAGAGGCAAAGCCACTGCCAGCACACACAGTGACTGGAGCAAAAAATATTTCAAAATAAATAAATAAATAAAATAACTAACCACAAATCAACAGTTTATCAGCCAGGCTAGCAACACACCAGTGTCCACAGGAGTCTATGACCAACAACAGTACACTATCAAACAGGTACAGAGAACAAACTAAGACTGAAGGACATCTGTGTGTGTAAAGACAGGTCAGTTACTAAGACGCATGAGCCCAACCTAATCCTCCTTTAGCACAACCCCTAATGCTCTCAGCATCCCAGCCAAGCCAGCTCTGCTACATGCTGGGAACTTCTAATAAGCACTTAGGGACTTAAAGGAAAACAGATAGTAGCAAACAGTATTTTTAGTGTTCTGGTGGTGCACCTGAAAACACAAAATTCTAAAGCAAGACAGCTGTTTCAAGAATACCAACGAACTATTCCCACCACTAAAAGGGCAGGGGAGGGGTGAATCGCGACGGCCAGGCTAATCTTGTCAAAGCATGATGCTGGCAGCACCAATCCAAGCACTTCACAAGTTGTTCTTTCCTTTGGTGGTGGGGGCATATACCCTACTATCTGACCAGCAACATCATTTTTCAGCCCAACAAGCTAACAAACGTGCAAAAGACTGCATGTAGGGGTTTTAGCGAAAGTGACTCTGGTGAGGTTGCCATGCCAGCAAGTGGGAGCAGCTGCTATTCACAGTCCTGTCTCAGCTCTCAAGATCTCCCCCCTTCATGTCTTCCTCCAAATCCACTTTCACATTTACAAGGAACAAAGAAAAGAGCCCCTTGCCTCCACTTTTCTAGACTGAATCACTACCTGCAACACCACTCTCCCTTCACAGGTCAGACAAACAACTTGACCCCTAACAGGTAAATCAGGAGAGAGGGAAAAAACAGAACTACAGAAAAAGGTACAAAAATCAAAGTAAATGAGGGTTAAACAGCAAACTGAAATCCAAATTAGTTGTGAAAGTGAATGAAGTAAACTTGAAGTGTTAACACCATGAACTGTGCATTGTAGAGACTGAAGCGGAGGTTAAACAAACTCCAAAAGCATGCATATCACTCACTTACCACCATGTTTTAAGGGTTTGATGCAATTGAGGGGGGGAAAAAAAAGAAGTCATAGTAACCGACAAATATCAACAAACCCCCAAACCCTCAGGCCAAAAGACAGCCTTAAGCAGTGACTGTTCTCTCCACCTGTAATTATTTGCAGCCACAGTCTAGATGAGAGAAAGAGGACTGGGAAGAATGGAAACAAGATGCTTCTGGAATCCACTTATGAGAGTGAAGTTTCTGGGAGCTGCCTACATGCTGATTTATCTGAATATTCCATCTTCCTAACTGAATGCACTACACCCTTTGCTCGCTAATGATGCCTCGTTA